GCCACTTCTCCGAGCGAGCCTCGGCGCGCCTCCCCGCCCTCCCGTTCGTCCTCCCCGAGGAGCTGCTGGATCCGCGGGCGGTTGGCGCAGAGCCCCCCTCTCTCTCCAACTCCCTCCTCCCCCACCTACTCTCCTCCCTCTTTCCCTCTCGCCCTCCCACAAGGGAAGGAGCCGAGCGGAGGCTGAGAGCAGCCTCTTTGCGGCCTGGGCGGAGGCCGCAAGGAAGCACCCCCCACTGGTTTTTGGGGGGAGGCACCACCTCTCGGGCCTTCAGCCGTGCGTCCCCGTGGGGAGCAGCGCTCAGTCCCCGCCACCCGCGGCGCTCGGCTCCGCGACTCCAGCCCAGGCCGCCCTCTCTGCCTTTTCTCTCGGCAGCGCCTCCCGAGCCGGCGTAAGACCCTCCAGGAGTTCCCTCCCCTCCCTGCCCCCCTCTGGCCCCCGCGTTGGTGGGCGCTTAAAGGGCCCCACCCTCGCCGCTCAGCGGCCGCCTGCAGAACCCGCCCCGCCTTCACCAACCTGGCGAGCAAGTGTTAATGCGCCCTCGGCCCGCAGTTCAGCGCCGCTGCGCTCAGGCCCCTCCGCCTTCCCTGCCTGGGAGGCGCGGAGGAAACGCATCCCGGGTCCCGGGCCTTCCCCGACGGATACTGCTCGGTAGCAGCTCGCAACTGCGGCGGCAGCCGTGGCCGCTGGGTCGTGGCCATCGTGGGCACAGCCGGCTCCGCTAAGGGTCCCCGCGGCCGGCAGGCGTGTGTTCCCGCAAGGGACCGCCTACCCACTCTCCCCGCCCCGGGAAGGACTGTGCCGCACCCGGGACTTTTCGGACTCGCCCAGCAGCGCGCGAGCAAGCAGGCAGCCGCTGGAGCCGAGCGCGGGCGGAAAACGAAAGCGCAGGGCGGGTCGCTGCCGCTTTGTCTCCGGCGCCACGGGCTGTTCGGGGATCGAGTGAGAACCGCTGGCCCTTCGCGGGGACCAGCACCTCGCTAGCTTCTCTAGCAAGCGGTCCGCTCATTCCCTCGCTTGTGCTCTGGAGCACTCGTGCACACACATGCACACACTGATGCACTCACGCGTGCGCTGCCACTCACGCGCACACTGCGCTCAGGCCCGTGCGTGCCGGCTCCTGCACGCACCAGAGGCCACTGGAGCTTCAATTAGCACCTACTCCCACTTATGTGTACACTGGCCACGCTCTGATCTGAGCCCCCACATAACTCAGTTGACTCCCCCGCCCGCCCCTCAAAACAAACACTGAAAACCCGCCTATTTGGCTCCGCAGTCCCGGTGTCCCCGCTTCCCAAGAGCAGGTTCCGATTTCTCGCAGATGGTAAAGGCCCTGGCAGGAAGTTTATACGGCTCAACGTAAACACGTTCTGGGGGATTCTTTAATAATAATAATAGAGAATCCCGCGTGCGCGGGGGGAGTTGGCCTAATGCCCCTGTGGGCTCGGCCTGCCGCCGCCGCGGGGGCCTCTGACACTGCGCGCCAGGCCAGGTTCCGGAAGGCTGTCTGCGCGGGCGGGGAGCGCGGGCCCGGGCGGACGTTGCGCGCCCAGCTGCCCGCAGCCGGAGGCTCTCACGCACGCCTTTCCCCCGCCAGCCACCCAGCGCCGAGGTGCCGCCTAGGACGGGGTCGGGGGGACGGTGGCGCCGAGCGCAACGCCGCACGCGGGGACCCAGGTGAGTGCGTTCGCCTGCAGACTTCGGAGGAGGGGGGAGCATCTCGAGGAGCCAGGACGCCGCGCTCCGGCGCGAGGTGGGGCGAGAGGAGCGTGCCGAGCTCGGAGTGCGGCCCTCGGCGCTTTCCAAGGCCCCCCGCCTCGCAGGCTTCCCTCGTCTCCTTGTCACCCGCTGACGCCCCTCCTCGCTCCGACGCCTTCGGCCTGGGCGGTAAAGGGCTCGCCGCCTTCGGGGCGCCTGACATGTCCCTGAGAGGAGCTGGGGTCTCGGCGGCGTAGCCTGCCGCGGCGGAGCGCGCCCACGGAGACAGGAAAGCCACCCTCTCTGCGCTGCGCTGCTGCCCGGCCCTCCCTGCTGGGCTTCGCATGCAGGCAGGGGCCGGCTGGGGAAGGGTGAGTGTGGGACGTGACCGCGTCGCGTGAGGTGGTGTCGTCGCGCAGGCAGACGCTCGCTGGCAGACCCACTCCCACTTCACGCAGCCCAGCCAGCGTCCATCGACCCCAGGCAGCCTGAGCACCGCGCATTGTCTCCATGCATCTTCCCAGAGAACGCTCCTCACAGCTCAGGCGCCCCAGCCCTCGCAGGAACGCTCATGCCTGCTCACCGCTGAGGACACACTTTTGGTTACGTGCACACACTCTTGCGCGGCGCGGTCACCCACGCACAACTAGCCGCACATGCACGCGCAATCGCAGACACGGCCGCTCCCCTCCCGCGCACACGTCCACACACGCATTCTCACATTCTCTCCCTCCATCACTTTTTTTTTTTTCCGCCAAACGGCAGCTGCAGGGTAGGAGGCCCCGCGGCGCCTGGAGGGAAGTTTCCGCGAAGGGGTCGCTACCGCCAGCTGCTGGGAGCACATCTGGCCTTTAAAAAAAAGAGGCGAGCGGGGGAGGTTGCCCGCTCCTAAGTCAGCGAGGGGTGCAGCGCAAACCCCCAGGCTCCCAGAAAGTGATAGTAACCCCTCCCTTTCTCTCGCTCCTCCCCCACTGACCGGATGCCCCCAAAGTGAGGGGCTCTACAGCGCAGGAGGGTTGGGGTGGGACCCTTTTCCTAATAGCCCCCTTCCCTCCTAGGCCTTCTCCATTTGGGAGGGCGCTGCAGATTCCATCTTTGACTAACCCCCAGATCAGTTTTCCGACCTCCTGAACCGGACTTTTTTTCACTGGCTCCCTGTGAGCTCCTCGGGGGCTCCTGTGTGTTTGGGGTGGGAAAACTTAGGCCTTCCTGGGAGGCAGTGCGGAGTCCAGGCCCCACCTGGCCTCCATTTACCCCTCAGTCTCTGCAGAGGGTGGGGGGTGGGGGGGAAGGCCCGCAGTCACTGAGGGGCACAGTGGCCTCAGAGCCTCAGAAGTGTGGCAGATGGAAGCGCTCCCCAATCCCTCATCTCCCTCGAGGTGGGAGGTACAGGGGAGGGGGGTGAGCCCCAGCTCTGTGATTCGGAGGCCCCCCTAGTAACTGGAAGAGCCACAGGCATGACAAGGACGGCTTTTCCCAGAGACCAAGCTTTCAGCTCTTAAGAGGCCCCTGAGAAAGGGTCTTGTCTGTTCATATGTTTTAGGGATGGGGAAACTGAGGCCCCTGCTTGGTCCAGCTAGTGCTGCCAAGTAGACATCTCTCCTTGGTTCCGCTCCACCTCAAAGGACTGACTGCCTTTTAATTTACCCTCCCAGATGACTTGTTACAGGCCAGGGGTGGAAAGAATGGGGTTTAGAAATGCTTCTGTTGCCCCCCCCCACCTCTGGCTTCCCAGGCTCAAGGGCACAAAGACCCATTAGAGAACTCATGGCGATAAAATTGTGCACCACCACGGGCACAACAGCAATAGTACCTATCGACTGCTGGCTGTGCACCCAGTACTGAGCTTCCCTTATCGGCACCTTCAGATGCTCTTAGCCTTTCTCTAGGCTGTGAATTCCTTTGATAAACTATTCAAACCTACAACCCTACACCTTCCCCTTCTGGAAAGCACAAACCTGTGACATTTGTAGAGTGGCTGTCAAGGTTTTACCAAATGCCTGGGTGCCCATCCGTGAATCTACAACTTCCTACTCATGAACCCAGGACCCTGGTTAAACACCCTAAAGATACTTGTTTAGTCTCCACAGATGCCCCTACCAAGTCAGTATTATCAATATTGTCAATATCCCTTTACAGATGGGCTGAGTGACATTGCCCCAAGTTCTAGGTCACTCTGCAGAGCCAGGATGTAAATCCAGGTCTGAGCAGGTTAGGCCTCCAGTGTACAGGGCAGAGACCCTCTACCTGCAGACGGCCGTGGTGGTCTGGTTTGAGGATTTAAATCCAGCCTCCACTGAGTAGGGATAGTGTCTAAGCCATTTGTGCCTTAGTTTTTTTGGCGGGGGTGGGCTTTGTTGGTTTATTTATTCCCCCAGCTTTTTGAGATACTGTTGATGGGTAATGTTGGGTAAGTTTAAGCTGTGCAGTGTTGTTTGGTACATGTGTTTGTGGCAAAATGGCCTCCGACCCGTCACAGAGTTACCATTCTTTTTTTTTTGTGGTGAGGACATTTAGGATCTACTCTTAGCAACATTAAAGTATAGGATACAGTGATCTTAGCTGTAATCTCCAAGCTGTAACTTAGTATCTTCAAAAAAACTAAAGGGATGAATAAGGGCACCTATTTCTTAGGGCTGCGGGGAGGACTGGACAGGACAGGACAGTGCGGAAAAAGACAGGTAATCCAAACAGACAAGACACAAACGAAACCCCCAGGGGCTCAGCTCCAGGGACAGCGGGAGAAAATGCAGAGAGGGATGCAGACAGCTTTCTGCTCTTAGCTGAAAGATCCATGAAGAACTCCCTCCAATCCCAAATCTAACCTGCACCCCAACACCGGCCCCAGGAATCCCCAGATGCGGGGGGTGTGTAAAAACAGACACGCCTGCCATGTCTCCCACTCCCCAAGCCCAAGGTGCTTTTACTGGCTAATTGCTTAAGTGAAGCCGCCAGGGCGAGAGCACGCCGTAACCCGAGCGGGGAACCAGATCCACCTCGGACTGTGCCGGCCGGGCGGCGGGCGGGCGGGGGCAGGGGGCGGCCGCCGACCACCCACCGTGAGGGCAGCCGCCCCGCCCGCCCGCCTCCCCTGCTCTGCATTAGCGCCGGGCTGGTGCCTCCCCACTCCCCACTCCCTCCAACCCCTTCCTGGCAACGTCCAAAGGCGACACAAGGTAGTGTGGGCTGGGCCCCAGACCAGGTGGGCACTGGGCAGTAAAGGCAACCGCTTGGCCTGGGGGTGTCGCTGGGGGGGGTTAGCGGGGTAGGATGTTTGTGGTGACTGTCCCCTGGAGACGGGACGATTGTGGGGAGAAACAGGGTCAGGAGGAGAGAGGGCATTCCCCCCCCATGATCTGTGCACAAAATAGTGGGATATTTCTCCCCAAACTCTAGCTGTGCACACGTCACGCTTGCCAATGTGCAAAATATTGTTCAGAGGAGCAAGAACTGTAGAACTAGAGAGAGACCCCGACCCCGAATAGTGCCCCATAAGCACAGTAGTGTCTGGAGGATGCAGGGCAAAGCCTGTGTGTGCAGAGTAGCCTGGGCTGTGCAGATAGACCGCGCTTCCTATGCTGAGCTTTATGGGGTGTGGGTGCCTCGTAGTGGCTCCACGCATAGTGAATAGTGTAAGGTGTAAACAGTTAACACAAACGTGTGCAGCGTATTGGAGTGCGGTAGGAGGAGCCCTGCACACGGGGCGTTACAGCGTGTGTGTGGTACAGCAGACTGCACACGGGAGAGCCTGGGGGAGTGGACGGCGTAGTGCATCCTGGGCAGGACATTGCAGGCTGCTCGGGCTGCTGGGGGTGTGTGTGTGACAGGACGGGTCGCAGTGCACATGGCAGATGGGTCTCCACGCACACTGCGAAGCACGTGCATTGTGATGCCGTGGGTACAGAGTGCACTGGGCACAGCGTTTTGCAAGGAGAGGGTCTACCCAGTGACGCTGCGTCTGCCCCAGCATCAGGCGGTGTGTTTGCGGTAGAGCATGGCGACCCAGGTCCAAGACTGTCAGGCGGTTTGCATGCAGCCCAACACGCAATAATGAAACCGCAAAGATCACACAGCTAAAGGCTACTGAGGCCTGACTGTGTGCCTTCCCTGGGCGCCTCGAGGTCATCACTAGCTCAGAAACCTCAACCACATGCTGGGCGGCCGGCTCTGGTTTAATCTCAGGTCCCAGGGAAGCGAAGTGCTTTTCCTGCTTCACCTCTGCAGTGACAGAGCAGCCTTCCCGCACTTCGTTGTGCTGGGAAGGGAGAGCTGTCCTTGGCATGGGAGGGAGATGCGGGCACGATCTGCACTGTGTGTGGGTCTTTGAGAGGCTATGCACTCAGGACCGGGACCTCCATCTGCAGCCAGCACAGAAAAGATGCAGAGACAAAAAATGTGGGCAGAATGAGCACTGGCCATATGGCCCCCAGTCCCGGGGGGCCCCGGTGCCTGGCGTGCGGGGCTGTGGGGAAGGCTCCCCTTCTGAGTTGCACACCCACGGCTAGGGATGCTGTCCCCCCTCGTGTGCATCGCTGCCGACCAAAGTCCAAACCACAGCAGTCCCGCCGTCCCCTCCTGTCAGCGGCAAGCCAGATCCCGGGGCCCCTTCAGTTCCTCCTGGGGTCCCCGCAAGTGAGGAGGAGAGAGCCATACCCTCTGGCTTCACAGGCCCTGCCACACCCCCTCGGCACAGGCACATTTGGGGCCCGGAAATCCCACCTGTGGGGACCACCAGGGCCACGTCTAGGGCGCGGCTGCGGTGAGGGCTGTCCCTGACCCAGGGCCTGGCAGTTAATCTCCCCCGTCAGCTATACATTAGAGAGAGGTTCATATTTTGGTCAAGAAAAAAAAGAGAAAGACAGAGGCTTGTGTTTGCCCTTCCACTTGGCCTTTTACCCAAAAGCACACATTTTCCATGACGTTCTTTAATGAAATATTTGACAACGTTGCAGCCCAGGAATTTACAGCCCTCTTCCCTG